GTAACTCTGTTTGGCTTTGTGGAGAACCACCATACTGTTTTCCACAGAAACTTCACCATTTTACATTTTCAACAGAATGTACATGAGTTCAAATTGCTCCACATCCAGGGCTGGTGTGGTGGCTCACACCTGTAACCCCAGCATGTTGCAAGGCTGAGGCAAGAGGGTCACTTGAGTTCAGGAGTTTGAGATCAGCCTGGGCAACACAGTGAGACCTTGTCTACAAAAAAATCAAAAATTAGCCAGGAGTGGTAGTGCACACCTATAAAGCCAGCTATCTGGGAGGCTGAAGCAGAGGGTCACTTGAGTCCAGGAGATTATGGCTGTAGTGAGGTATAATAGTGCCACTGTCCTCCTGCCTGGGCGACAGAGAGACCTTGTCTCAAAAAAAAAAAAATCTTGCCAATTTGTTTCAAATTTCTTTCTTTCTTTCCTCCTTCCCTTCTCTTCCCTCCTCTTCCCTCCCTTTCCCTCTTCCTTCCTTCTTCCCTCCCTCCCTCTCTCTCTGTCTTTCTCTTTCTTTCCTCTTTCTAGTACAGATGGTGGTCTCACTATTTTGCCCAGACTAGATTATAAATCCTGAGCTTAAGTGATTTTCCCTCCTCAGCCTCCCAAGTAGATTGGATGACAGTTGTGTGCCTCCATTTCTGGCTTGCTCTCTCTCTCTTTAAATTCTAGCCATCCTGGTGAGTGTGGAGTGATATCTCGTGGTTTTGGTTTGCAGTTCCTTGATGACTAATGATGTTGAGCATCTTTTCATGTTCTTACTGGTCACTTGTGTATCCTCTTGGGAAAAAGTGTCTATTCAAGGTCCTCTGCCCATTTTGTAGTTGTTAAGTTGTAGAAATTATATATATATATATATATATATATATATATATATATATGTATTTTTTTTTTTCTTTTTGAGATGGAGTCTCGCTCTGTCGCCCAGGCTGGAGTGCAGTGGCCGGATCTCAGCTCACTGCAAGCTCCGCCTCCCGGGTTCACGCCATTCTCCTGCCTCAGCCTCCCGAGTAGCTGGGACTACAGGCGCCTGCCACCTCGCCCGGCTAGTTTTTTGTATTTTTCAGTAGAGACAGGGTTTCACCGTGTTAGCCAGGATGGTCTCGATCTCCTGACCTCGTGATCCACCTGTCTTGGCCTCCCAAAGTGCTGGGATTACAGGCTTGAGCCACCGCGCCCGGCCGAAATTATATATTTTTGATATTAAATTCTTATCCGATATATTATTTACAAATCCTTTTTTTTTCCGTTCTGTGAGTTGCGTTTCTACTTTCTTGATAGTGTCTTTTGGTGTACAAAAGTAATTTGATTTTGTGAAGTTCAATTTATCTATTTTTTCTTTTGTCATCTATGCTTTTAAAGTTATATTTTTTAAACTATTGCCAAATTCAAGGTCATAAAGATTTTCCCCTGTGATTTCTTCTAAGAGTTTTATAGCTTTAGCTGTTAAGTTTAGGTCTTTGATGCATTTGGGGGTTAATTTTGTATATCATGTAAGGTAGGGGTTCAACTTCATTCTTTTGCATGTGGACATCCAGTTTTTCCCACACCATTTGTTGAAAAGACTGTCCTTCCCTCACTGAATGGTCTTGGCACCCTTGCCAAAAATCAAACCTTGTTTGGATTGATGATTCAGTATGACACCTGGAGTCAATGACCAGAGACCCTTTCAACCACGGAGATCTGGTAAAGGATCTTGTCTGAGAGTGCGGCCAACCCCTCCTCCCAAGCAATCCTCTCTGCGGCAGTTGCTGCAAGGGGTGCTGGGAATGATATGGCTGTCAACAGGAATCTACTTCTTCAAGGGATGTTTTAACTCAGCACTTTAAAAGGAGGCAGGGTGGTTTTCTGGGAAGAGATGACAGAAGTGCGTTTGAATCCTGACTGTGTCTCTAGCTCTATGGTACTGGAAGTTACCTTATCTCTCCAAGCCTCATCTGTGCAATGGGAAAGTCATATAGCTGGTCACATCCAATCAGTCTGCCCTGTTCCTGCTCCGGTGGCATTACTCCTCACAGCTCTGTCTCATCCTCTTGCTGCAGGAGTAGGCACATGACCTGGCCTGGCCAAATATGGTTGTCTTTGTCCTGTGCCCTAAGTAGATATTGGACCCTATTGGGAATAAACCAGTCCCCCGAGATAGTTTGCTCTGTGCACAGAAAGCAGTCTCCCTCTTCCCCTGGGAATAATGGTTCTAAAGACCATCTGAGCCTAGGCTGCCCTAGTCATTTTTTCCTGCTGCTTGGGTAGGATGTACCTGAGAGCTGAGCCAATAGAGAGGGAAGTCCAGCTAAGAGCTGGAGCCAGTAAGAGCCCAGGCTTATTTGACTCCCTGGAACAAGCTATGCCTGAAGTCTACCCCTGCTTTTATCAATTATGTAGAGTAATACATTCCCTTTTCAGCTTAAGCTAATTTGAGTTGGGCTTTTGTCAGTAGGAGCTAAAAGAGCCCTGACCAGTATATATTTCTCCAGGGCAGTTGTGTGGATTAAGAGAAATGAGGCCAGGCGCAGTGGTTTATGGCTGTAATCCCAGCACTTTGGAAGGCCCAGGCAGGAAGATTGCTTAAGCCGAAGAGTTCGAGACTAACCTGGGAAACATGGCAAAAGCCCAGTCTCTACAAAAAAAAAAAAAAAAAAAAAAAAAAAAAAGGCTGGGCATAGTGGCATGTGCCGGTAGTCCCAGCTACTTGGGAGGCTGAGGTGGGAGGATCACCTGAGTCCAGGAGGTTGAGGCTGTGATGAGCTGTGATCATGCCACTGCACTCCAGTCTGGATGACTGAGTGAGACCCTGTCTCAAAGAAAAAAAGAGAGAAGAGATTGCGAAGTACTTGGCAGTCAGCACGCATTTTGAGAGAGAGAGAGAGACCAGCAAGCCTGGTTTTTTGGTGTAGCCACAACTGACAACAGTGGCAAAGGAGAATGGGTTGTTTGTATGGGTGGAGGAGGGAGGTGGGCATATGATCCCAGGGGGGCCAATCTGAGTGTTTCCCTGTGATTGTTCTAAGTAGAAGAGCAGAGTCATTTCCTTTCCTTTTAAGCCACTAAGCTGGATTTCTGTAACCCACAGCTGCCTGCAGCCAAGCTCCCTGTGGTAGAAGAGTGAAGAAGCCCATCTGTGGTAGGAGAGAGTGATGCCAACACACAGAGAAAAGAAATGAGAGAGAAAGCAGGCAGACAGAGACAGCGAGCATTCTGAAGGCCGGCTGCCCCTCCCCTGCACCTCCCAGGTCCTGTGCTTGCCAATAAACTGCCCTTTTTCTTCAGCTTGAGTTTGGATTTCTGTCCTTACGACTGAAGGATTCCTGACTAATATGTCCAGAGGCCAGCTGAGGTGAAGCCATAAAAGACCCACTGGATCGGCTGGACAGCCAGGACTGTGACCCTCACGCCTGGCATGGGGAAAGACCAGCGTCCTTCCCTGCTGAGCAGCTCTCACATCTGGGTCTCCAAGGCAGACTGAGACCTGGATGGGGACAGACAGGGCTGACGCAGGGCACTGACACACTTGAATACCCTCTCCACTTGCCGCCCTTCAAATCCTTTCACTCAGCGATGGCACTGTCTACAGTGTCCCAACAAATAGACAGAACTGTCATGACGACTACGCGGCTAACTAACCTGTTACCCCACCTCTTGCCTAGTTTGAGGGAGGAGGGCCAGTTCTTCTTCTCTGCTGGTCTGATGAGGGCGAGAGCATAGGTGGTCCTGAACCCCCATGGCCGACTCAATAGGTAAAGAAATGTCCAGGCAGGAGGCCTCGGTGACACACAGTTTACCTCCCTGTGGCCTCAGTAACACTTGGTCCATTTCCATGGGATCTCACCATGCTATGCCCTGTGTATCCAGCTTGGCACCCTACATTTCTTCACTCATGTTACTCAACAAACATTGATTGAACACCTATATGTGCCAGGCAATATTCTAGGAGCAATGTTAGAACAATGAACAAAGCTCCATTCTAGTGAGGGGAAGCAATAAACAAAATAAGTAAGTAAAATAGTCTCGGCACGTCCAATATCAACAAGCAAAGAGAGGGAGGAAGGGAGCGAGAGGGCGAAAATAGGCTCCTGTTTTACATCAGATGGCCAATGATGGCCTCTCCAAGAAAGAAGTCAGGGACCAAGGACAAGTGTGTCTGGCACATTCAAGAAATGGCAAGGAATTGCTGGTGGGAGGGTACCATGGTACAGGCACTTTGATAAACAGTTTGGTGGTTCCTCAAAAAGTTAGCATTAACTGCTGGTGGGGAAAAAAGTGAGAGTTATCATTTGATCCAGCAATTCCACTCCTAGACATACCCAAGAGAAATGAAGACGTATGTTCACACAAAGACTTGAACATCAATGTTCAGAGCAACATTATTCACAATAGTCAAAAGTGAAAACAATCTAAATGCCCATCAACTGACGGTGAATAAATAAAACGTGGTATCGCCATGTAATGGAATAGGATTCAGCTGTAAAAGGATGAAAACATCAGTATGTGCTACAGCCTTGAAAACATTAGGCTAAGTGGAAGAAGCCAGTCACCAAAAAACACGGACTATATGATTCCATTGATACGAAATGTCCAGAGTGGGCAAATCCACGGAGACAGAGAGTGGATTGGTGGTTGTCAAGGGCTGGGGAGTGACAGTGGCGATTGTTGCACAATCTTGTAAATATAGTAAAAACCAATTAATTGTATCCTTTAATAATACATTTTATGCAAATAATATCTCAAAAAAAATTTTTTTTGAGACGGAGTCTCACTCTTGTTGCACAGGCTGGAGTTCAATAGTGCAATCTCGGCTCACTGCAGCCTCCACCTCCCAGGTTAAAGTGATTCTCCTTCCTCAGCCTCCCGAGTAGCTGGGATTACAGGCACACACCACCATGCCGGCTAATTTTTGTATTTTTAGTAGAGACGGGGTTTCATCATATTAGTCAGGCTGGTCTCGAATTTCTGATCTCAGGTGATCCACCTGCCTTGTCCTCCCAAAGTGCTGGGATTACAGGCATGAGACACCGCTCCCGGCCTCCATTTTTAAAAAGAAAGAAAAAATGGCAAGGAGTCCAGAGCATGTGAGAGAAAGAGGGAGGATGCGAGGCACATGACACTGTGGCCATTGCTCAACACATACTTGTTGCAGTGATGTGAAAGCAAGAAGAGTTAACCCCTTCTAAACCTCTGTCTTTCCACCCTGGGGAAGAGACCTCTGGCTCCCAAAGGGATGAGAGTTGGCGAGGGCAGCTCCCTGTGGGCTTGGCAGGTTCTGGTGTCTGAACAGATGGGGACTGTCATACAAATCCCTCCTATGTCAGGGGAAAGATCAGTGACACATAGGAGAAGGGGACACCTGAACCAAGGTGACCAAGACCAAGACTGGTGACTTAGAAGGAACAACACTAACCTCCATGTTCCCTTTCCCTGGGCCAACCCTTCCTTTTTTCCCCACTGATAGAACCTGTCCTGGATTCTCTGAACCTCAGTTTTCCTGCCTGTGAATGGGAGAGAAGGGAAATTATCCCTCAGCCCTGGCCCAGAGCCTGATGGATGAAGAAGAGGCAGGGCCCTTGTGTGAAGGGCGTGGGAAGTGGGGCGGCGGGGGGACATCTGTGCCTCTGCAATGGTGCCCCTGGGACCCAGGCCAGAATCTGGTCCCCCACCCTGGCTCGGATGGAAGCTGCAAGCACAGCACCTGGAAAGGCAGTGCATTAAGTCAGATGGGCTCCTCTCTCCCAGCAAGGTCCCCAGGGAGGAGCCCTGGGACAGGTAAGTTTCTATCAGTGAGACAGGAGCACGAGGAAGTCTTGGAACACAGGCGCTGTCTGGGTTAGCTGTCTTATGTGAGGGCTTAGAGGACACAGAACGCTGTCCATTCCTCCCACTCTGGGTGGCGATCAGGGCAGCCATATTTCCTCCTGCCCTTTGCAGAATAAGTAGACGAGTCTATTTTACAGATGAGGAAAGTGGAGGCCTAACGAGCCAAATCCCCAGAACTAAAGGTGCAGCTGGGATTTGAAACCAGGCCTCTCTGGCTGCACAGTCCGTGTTCTCATTCATTTCCCTCAATGTTATTCCCCGGCAGCAGGACCTAGCTAGAAATGAGAGTGGAGGCACAGGGCGCGGGCCAGCGCCGGTGAGGCGGCAGTCAGGCAGGCTGGGAAACCCTGGCTGGCGGCAAGAGGGCGAGGGGCTCCAGGCCTGAACCCAAGCAAGTCCCGGACTCCTGGTTTGAACGACTCCAGAGCCCCACCTAGTGGTAGGAGGGAGCCACTGCTCGCACAGCGCAGGCAGTCCACAGCTGACATTAATCCAGCCGGGTCACCAGCAACCATCCTGCGGCAAGAAGCGCCCCTCCCCAGGCCGCGCTTCCCTGGGAGAGGGAGGAGGTGTCACCAGCGCGCGTGCGCACGGAGGCTCATTGGCCTCAGGATTTCGTCGCCCTTCATCTGCAGACACCCAACATGCAGGCCTGTCGAGCACCCCTCTAGTCTAAACCCCCGAATTTAGGGCACATTCAGGCAGGGGAGTCTCCTTGGCCCGCGCCTGGCCTCCAGGGCAGGAAGGGGGCTTCTCTCTGGCAGGCCCAACCCTGGCCGCCGCACTGGGCTGAGGGGAATTTCCCCACTCGCAGAGCGCCCCCAGACCCCATCCTCAACCGCCCTTAGGGTCCCCCAAAGGAACGGGAACCATCACTCACTGGTCGAGGCTCCTCGCCGGCCCCACTGTGAACCACCGTGAGCTCTGCAGCAGTGATGGAGGAGAGGTAAAGTAACTTGCCCAAGTCCACATATTGGTTGACTACCAACAGGAAACAGGGTGTGCGTGGGCACCCAGCTCAGGAGGGAGAAGGCAGAGGAGCAGCTCCCTGAAGAAGGAGCCAGTGTGCTGAGTGTATCGGAGGAAGGCAGGAAGAGCACTCCAAGCCCAGGAAAAAGCATGTGCACATGCGGAGGAGGCCGAGGCAAGGCCAGCAAGATTAGCCTAGAGGTGAGTAGTGGGGGTGGAGTCCTGGGGAAGAGGGCGAGTAGGCAGGACTCACACAGGCCCCACTGCCAGGCTGAGGAGGCTGGGCTTGACCCCAAGAGCAAGGGAAACTTTGGGAGGCTTTAACCAGGGGCAGTGACTTCATCTCAGCTGCATTTCAGGAAGGCCTTCTGCTCCACAGGAAAGACTGGGGGGCAAACATGCTAGGAGCTTCCCCAAGGGACTCATATGGAGAGGTCTGCCCTGGCCATGGGGGACAAGGTTGTTGCTCCAGAGGCCAGAAGTTTCCAGAACTTAGGGAGCAGAGAATCCCTGGCACAGCTGGAGAGCAGGGTTTGAGGGCTTGGGAGTGTCTGTGGATGGCCTGGAACTTTCTCCTGCAGAGGCAAGTCCTCAGGCAAGACACACACACTCTCTGGGCCTTAGTTCCCCAGGAGACACAGGAGGCCCAGCTGGGGAGACCTGAAGCCCTCCAGAGCTCTCTGCAGGGGACTAAAGTGTACTTGGAGGAGGGGCCTCTGGCCCAGGACCTGGGGGTGGGGGCTATCCTGGAGGGACCAGGTGCACTTCATTCACTCATCCAGCAAGGGCTTTCTGCACACCTGCCATGTGTTACACACATACACCTACCACACACACACACACGAACACACAGAGACATGCCCATGTGAAGATGCTTGGTGGGGCAGTTTCCTTGGAGAAACCAGGCCAGTTGCCAGCTCCCCAAACCTCTCTAAGGCTCTGCCGCTCCTCTCTGCCCCCAGGTTGCTGGGGCTAAGCCTTTTCCCACCCCACCCCTATACACCACTCTGTCTTCTCTTGGGAGGGGATATATTCCTTGGATGTCTCTATCTTCTGCCAGATCATTGGCTCCCTCAATGGGGGTGCTGGTGTCTGTTTCACTCATTGCTGGGTCTCCCAGCCCAGTAGGGGTATGTCTGTGGGGATGGCAAGGTGACCTACTGGGTGACTTGCTCAGAACTGAGGGGTCTTCCAGAATTCAGGACGCCAGTACTCAAACCCGAACTGTCATGGGCAACGGGGACAGTTATGGGCAGGCAAAGCATGGAAGTGTGTGGACAGACCCCCGAGAAGGAAATAAATAAGACCCAAAGTGGGAGCAGGATGAAGGAACTGACTAGCCAGTCCAGGGCTAAATGAAAACCAGTCCCAGGACAGTCCGCCACAGGGCTGAGCCAAATGCCAGGGGGGACTCTGCGGCCCGGGGTGGTGGAGTAGGAACACCAGGCTCCAGGAAGGGACACAGGCCTGGGGTTGGCCACAGTCTGGTGTGGGCCTGTGACCTGCTTCTTAGATGCTCTATGACCTTGGGCCATTTTCTCCTCTGTAAAATGGAGATAATGATACCAACCGCCCAGTGCTGAGAATTAAATCAAATGTCTGCGTGTATGTTAAGCACACAGTGGCTATTCCACGGCTGCTCCTGTTGGGCTGAGGAGCAGGCACCATGGGGCCAGAGGACATCCTGCTTGTTCTCTTTGGGAGAGAAATAAATAATATTGAGAGGGAACATGAGCCACGCCCTAAGCTAAGCACAGGATGCACCCCCCTCCCCCGGGTAATCCTCTCAATGCCCCGTTAGTGTTTTACGCTGAAAAGCCCCTGCCCTGACCAGGGGTCCCCACAGGCCCAGCTGGGCTGACTGGAGCCATGAGGCCACCCTCCCCCCCGCCTGCTGGACTTGGGCTCTGAGCCAGGCTGCTTCTCCCACGGACACACCTCCTGGCCAGGACATCCGGGCACTCCTCCCCTGCCCTGTTTGCCCTTTTCCTGCTGCAAGCCTGACTCTCACCCATCATCACTTCATCAGTTTCCAAGGGCCAGGCCCAAGGGATTGCGAAAGAGCTTTGTCCTTTATTTACTGGATGGCCTCGGGCACCTCACTTCATTTCTCTGAACCCCAATGTCATGTCTGTGAAATGGGGACTCACGGTCTCCACCCCGCCAGTGAGGGCTGGGGAGAGGCCACATGTGAAAGTGCGCTGGCTGTCATGAAGGCTTCCTCACAAGAAAGAAATTAGCCTGGGGGACCCGCTTAAACATGGGTGCCTGAATGGCCTTCACTGGTATCCCTTTCTCTCTTTGGGGTCTCTCTTTAGGGAGAAGTTACACACAGTCAACAAATTGTGGTGCTGGGCAATAAAGTCACCCCCCAACCCCCGCCCACAACCCACTAGTCTGCATCTCTCCAAAAGCAGCTTGCTTGAGGTAGAAGGCCAAGCTGTGAGTGACAACCACACCCCACAGGGAATGGAGGCAACTGGAACCTAGAATGCAATTTCCTAATTGAGAATTCATCCAGGCCACCAACCCAGTCCCCCACCCCAAGAATCTTGGCCAAGGTCCTCAAGGCCTGTGACTCTGCCTATCCCTCTGGCTCAGGTTCCTTAAGCATTAAATGGGAACATGGCTCTTGTCTAAAGCAGTTGAGGCTGGGGGTGGGACAGGGGTCACTGGAAACTGGACCCAGGTCAACTGGCCATTTGCAGATCAACTTGATTTTAGTCCAAACTACTTATTTTGCAGATGAGGATTCTGCAGCCCAGAGAATAAAGTCACATTTTTGGAGGGCACTCACAGCTCTAGAGGCAGAGTTCGACCTTGTACCTATCCAGTTTTCCTACCAAGCAGCTGCTTCAGCCATAGATGAGCGTGTAGATAATTATTAAATCACCAAAGATTTGGTCCTATTCTCTGCTACACTGTACTTTGAAAGAGAAAAGAGCTGAGAGCCCAGTGCAGGTACGACATCTGGCCTGGGTCCCATCATCCAGCCGGTGACTGTATCGCAGCGGAAATGACCCTCGACTGGTGTTAACCGGACTGCTTTCTAGCCGCGTGCCCTTAGGAAACCTGTGTAGGGTTAATCTCTGAGGGTGCCAGAGCTCATCTGGGGACATAAAGGGTCAGCTGGCTTCTAAGCTCCACCCCCTCCAACTCTGGCATTCCCCAGCCAACGGGTCTTACATCCCCTGCCCCGTATTCAGACCTGACCCAGAGCCTTAGTGGCTTTTAATCCAAGAGCGAGATTCTCAGGCTGACCCCTGGGCCCTCCCCAGTCCCCACCACCTCCCCAGTCCCCACCACCTCCCGCTGGAATAACGCAGCCCAAAGCCTCCCTTACGGAGGCAGGAACTTAGGTGAGCAGCTCCACAGGGCACATCCTGCCCTCAACCCTGAAGACCCCACCCTGAAGAAACGCCTGAGGGTGGTGAGGAGGGCGGGTTGGAGCCGAGGGGGTCCCTCTACGCGAGAGGAACGCCGGATCCCCGCCGATCCTTCCCCTATCCCGCCCCCAAGTCCTCACCGTGGAGTGGGCCCCGCGCTCCCAGGGCCGTGCGCCCCGCCCCCTGCGGATCTCAGCCACAGCCCCCTACGGAGGAGCCTGGGAGGCCGGAGGCCGGCAGCTCCCTCCCGGCAGAGAGAACGCGAGGGCCCAGCCCTGCCGGCGCGCAGAAGAGGACACGCCGGGATCTGCAGCAGCCTGGAAGGTCGCCGAGCTGGCGATGCCCGGCGGTCCCGGCAGCAGGGGAGAAGGCCCCACCCCGAGCCTCAAGCCCTCCGCTCCGCGTGTCCGCAGCCCCGGAGTCCCTCGGTCCCTCGGCGGCCTGTGCCGGGCTCCGGACCCGGCTCTGCGTGCGTCGGTGGCTGCTCCTTCGTGCCCCGCTTGCCGGGGTCCCCAGTCTACCTCCCGCTCTCGCCCCAGGCGGGCTGTGAGGCCGCGGCCGGGGCCCTGGCCTGCAGCGCCATCTCGTGGACCTGTGGAGAGTTGCCGAGGCCCGAGGCCTAGGCGGGCTCTGGGTTGGCTCCCACTCGTGCTCCCGGCGGGGAGCTGCGAGAGCTGCCAAGAGGACTCGCCGGGAAACGAGGCGCGGCCGTCAGCTCTGGAAATCCGTGCTTCCGGAGTGGGTTCGGGGTCCCCGGCCCCATCCAATAGGAGGAACAGATATGCGCCTCCGGGAGCCAAAAAGAAAGTCCAAGGGCAAAACCGCCCCGAGCGTGCTTGGACACATTCAGCGCCCCGCGACCAGCCTCCACCCCGAAGGCGCTCCGGGGAGGGTGCCCAGGGGACCCGGAGCTCGGGCTCCCTCCCAAGAGCGCGGGGGCTCCCTCCGCTGCCGCCCAGTCCTGCGAGCATGGAGCGCTCGGCCTCCTGCGGGCTCCCGCCTGACCGCCGGTGCTCCTCACCTGGGAGCCAAGGACAGCGAAGGAGGGGGAGGAAGCGGGACTGGATTTTGGGTCCTTCCCAGAGCGGAGGAAGGCAGGCGTGGGGTGTAAATCCAGGGCTCGTGGAGGCTGTCCCTCAAGAGGCCGTCCCATAATCGGGAAATAGGGGGTCGGGGCCTCGAGCTGGGGCGCTTGCGCTTGGGAGTCCCGGGGAGAGCGAGGCTTAGCGCGCCCCTCCCGCCCCAGGAGCATCCCGCGCGGGAGTTCGCGGTCAGCTGGGAAGGCGGGCCCGGGAGCTGCGCCCTTCGGAAGGGCAGGGCCAGGCCACACCGGTGGCTCGGGTTCTCCACAGCAGCGGCGGGGGCGTTGGGGAGGAAGGGCTTGAGGGCTCGGATTCCGATTAGCCCGAGAGGAAATGAGGTCCGCGGGGCCTTGGAATCCGTGCGGCTTCGCCGCTAGGGGGTCTCTCGGAGCCCCCGCACTCACACCCTCCGTCTTCGAGTTCCTCCGGGAATCGAACGCGCCACCCCACACCGACAAGCACAATTCCCTCTTAGATCTCACACGCCCTACACGCGGGGGCCCGCGGCGACAGGCTAGGCCGCCAGTAGGTATCGCCATTGCCCCAGCACAGGCCCTCCTGCCACGCGCGTGCCGGTGGCTCTGCCGTCCAAGGACCCCGAGCCAGGCCCTGAAGGGTTAAGGAGGCCTTGTGGCACCGGAGCCGCGGGTACGCGGGGCGCCTGGGCTAATTGGCGACCCTGGGGACAATGAGGGCTGGGAGGCCGGGGAGGAGGGTGGCTTAATTGGGCATGGGAGTGGCCTAGCCTTTGTCTAGGACAAGGCCCAGCCGCCGGCCGCGGGTTCCCGAAGTCGAACTCTGGCTACCAGCTGGGGCCCCGCGGAGCGCCGGGTGGGCGGGCGACTCGGAGGGGACCTGTGAGGCGGGAGGTGGCGGCTGGAGTGGAGTAGGGGATCTTGAGGCCCTGGAGTCCCACCCCACTCGGGTTGCTGCAGCAACGACGCGGCCCAAAAACGGCCGCGACGAGGCAGCCCCGCCTGGCCTTCGCAGCCACTAGCCTCCCCCGCGCCGGTGCCTGCGCCCGCGCCCCTCCTGCGACCCTAGGTCGGTGCTGCCCCCTGGTGTCCGCAGCCCTGTACGCAGGCCGCCGCGGGCCCGCAGCCGACTCTTGTCTCCCTCCTAGTGTCCTGCCGAAAGTGAGAAGCCGCGGGAAGCAAACGCGCCCCTGCTCTAGGAGTATGAGGCGTTTCAGCCCAAAGCGACCTCCAGCAAACGCGCTGCCCACGAGCTTCTATTTAGGCTGGAAAACGGGCTTCTCTGTCCCCATCGGGTTCCCGCAGGTCTGAGGTCTCAGCCGGAACCCACCCTCTGGGGTTAGGACACGTTCTACTGCAACCTCCCACTCGTGCACTGGCTGAGTCCTCTCCCCGCTCCAGCCGCATTCGGCGTGGCCTGGGGGCAGCCCCCTCCTGAAGAGGAGGGCCTGGTTCTCTCTCTCTCGTTCCTTGCAAAAGTATCGGCCCACGAAGGCGTCTAGGCGTCTGGGGGCCCAATTGTTCATTCCATCTTCATCATCGCCCTCCCGCCATCTCAACGTCCTTGGTGTTTTGGAAGCCAGCACCCTCCCCAAACCCCACAGTGCCCAAGGTGGGCAGCCTGTTGGGGCAGGGCATTCTGGGTCCCCAAGGCTTAAAGAGAACTGAGAAGGAGGTGGGGTGCTCGGTGACCGACCAGACCCAGGGCTGAAGGGGTGCCCGCCCAGTTCCCACCCCTTCCCCACCCCCACTGCTAGGAGTCGGTCTGGAGACACCCGCTAGCTGGGAGAGGAGGATGCGGCTCTGGGGAGCTCACCGGCGCGGGGCGGGAGGCAGATGTCCTTGTAGGAATGGGTCTCGGGGAAGGACCAGCCTAATGGAGACTGACACAGCGGGACCCCGGAGAGACCCCAGCCAAGCCCGTTATTATACAGGGGAAAGTGAGGCAGGAATGGAAATAGCCCACTGACCCCACTCCCCATTTTCCCAAGAGAGATTTAGATAGATGAGTTAAAGTAAGAACTTTAGTCCAGAGTTTGCCACTCTAGCCAACAGCCCTGACGCGGAGGAAATGTTTGTCTTTGAGGTTCAGGAGGCAGAGAGAGGGGAAAGAATTCTAGGCTAAGCGATATTTGGCGGGGCAGTACGGGTGGGACACAGCCAAACCCCTCCTCGGAAGGGAGAGGGCGGACAAGGAGCACCCATCCTCCCAGCCCACGCACCCAGAAGCATTGAAAGGAGATGCGTTTCCAGTGTGGTTTCCCGGAGAGGGAGTCAGAAGCCAGGAGTCCAGGCCGCTCGGCTGCTCACCTCCCGGCCCGGGTGGGTGCCCAGGCCAGTGGCGCGGAGCGGCGGGAGCGGCCGGCAGGGGGAGCCCGGCCCTGGCCTGGGACGCAGCGGGCGTCCGGCGCCGGCGCCGCCCTGCCTCGCGGCTCAGCCAGCGCCCCAGACGCCCTGCCGCTCTGCCGCTCCCGGGGTGCAGCTGTCGCTGAGCGAGGGGCGCGCAGCCTTTTGTCCCCGCCTTTCGTCCCTCCTTTCGCGCGTACAGCGCCCCAGCCCCGCGCGGCCCACAGAGCGCACAGCGCCGTTCACTTCGCTTTGTAGCGTTTTATTGTTTTCTCGCGTTTTTGTCGTTTCGTTCTCGCTCCGGAGCGAAAAGTGAAAACCTGAGGTGGAGCCCGCGGGCAGGGCGAGTCAAACCCGGGCGGAGGGGCCGAGGGGCCGGCGGGGTGGTGGCTCCTCTGGGGCTCAGGGCCTTCTCCCGCAGCTGAGGCCCCCCAAGCCCTGTACAATATAGATGCTCATGTAAAATGAAAAAAACTTTAAATGTATGAGTTAATCTCTAAATATATGTACACAGCAATGTACACCTTTGAATAAATTAATACCAATTTGCGTATTCTGGGAACCTTAAAGCTTATTTACACAAATTACCATTTATTTCATAAATATCTTTTTTTTTCCCCCTGGGGACTCAAGGCAGACGTGCCACTCCCTCCGCTGACCCAGGGCTGGGAGGGGTGCCTGTCTCTTGGGGAAGAGGTGGGGGGACTAACAGGTTCCCTCCCAGCTCAGGTCTACACTGACTTCAGTCGTGTAACTGGCTCCAGCATCCCTCAACCCAGTTTTCTCACGCGGTCCAGGCCCAAGGCCCAGGGCTCTGGGACTCCCTCCGATGCTCCCACCCCTGGCCCCTGCACCTTCTGGCTTCTGCCGGGACCGCTGGGCCCTGGATGAGGCCTCTCCCACCGCACTGGAAGACCAGAGTCACCCTCGGATGCCACCTTGACGCTGGAGCGATCTGGACCTAACCCAGCAGCTCCCAAGTGACTGTGTTTCCGGCAGCCTGATTCCTTGTTGAGGCCCAGGGAAGTGTCCCAGGCCCCGACTTGCCAGACGAGGCTCTATTCCGGCTGCTGCAGCCCACTTTTCTCCTTTATTTAAATAAATACCCATTCTGTGCTGTACACGTCCCAAGCAGCAGGGGCAGGCAGCCCGGGTGGCCTGCGTGGCAGGGGAGCAGCTGGGCAGCCCCTCACTTGGGCGACTCCCGGCCTGGGGAGAGGGCTCGCTGGCTCTCCAGCCCACTCACCAGTCTCTGGATGCTTTGCAGTTCATTGGCCGCCTCCTTGGCCGAGCCACTGGGCGACAGGGCACCGCGGGACGGGGCCCCTACTTTTCGGAGAGCCAGCTCGGGCAGGGGGCTGGGCTCCCGGCTGTTTCCGCCACCAGCCTTGGAGCCCTCGGAGGCCAGCCCGGTGGTGAGGAGGCTAGTGCTAGGCGGGATGGTGACCGGGATCTGATAGGGGCTGAAACGCAGTCGGGGCCGGGCACTGCCCAGGAAGGGGCTCCGAGATAGGGAGCCGGCAGCTGCAGCAGCGGCAGCTGCAGCACTAGTGGCGGGCAAAGCAGAGGCGGCTGCGGCTGCTGCTGCCATGTAGGTGTAAGGGTAGGGGAAGAGGCCTCCGAAAGTGGGCATTGGGATTCCCTGGAAGAAACAGAACAAGACAAGGGTTAGACATCTTGCCTGACGTGTTTCTGAAGGTGGGCTGGGTGCTGGGGTGGTGCTATCCCCTGGACACCTTGCCCTGCTGTTTTAGGGATGTAAAACAACAACGCACATAATTATAACCACAGGCAGCACAGGTGAGCATGAGCCAGTGTGCCTGTGGCCAAACCCACTTAGAAGGGCGAGATCACTTCAGGCTACCATGCAAAGGCCTGCCATCAAGTTCTGTGCTGGGCGTTACAGCAGGGGTAATGGAAAGGACATTCCAGGTGACTGCACTAGCATGGGTGAAGGCCTTGAGGGAGAAAACAGGGCAGGCATAGGGCCAGGTGGCAAACAGGCAGCTTTGGGTGTCTTGGAGGCTCTGCTCATTGAGAACAGTATCCTCACCACCGTCCTATCTACAGGCTCTGAAGGGCTGAGGGCACACACCCTGGGGAAGACACTTTGCAAAGTCCCTTTCTGCCTGCTCACCTGCTCAGGGTTCTCCTGCCTGGGCCAGGAGGAGGGCACAGGTGCCAACCAGTTCATAAACTGGCCTGAAAGTTCTACAGGGAACGCCTGGCAGCACCTCACTGGCAGCTGAGGAAGGAATGCAGTCTTTGCCTGTGAAGGGCACAGGAGCCAGGAACTCCTGGACAAGCACCTTCCTGAGTTCATGAGGTCTGGCTGGTGCACGGCCTGACCTTTGAGATAATGGCTTACTCCCCAGAGCCAGTGGGTATGGGGAGGAGGGCAGGGGGCTGATGACTGCGCTGGGCTCCCAGGGAGCCTCAGGCCTGGCTCAAGTAGGGAGAAGAAAAGGGGCAGCTTCATCAGGCCTGAGAAAACACCCTCCTGAGAGGGTCAGGTCCTACTGGGCATTTCAAACATGGCATCTCAGGTTGGGAGAAAGGGAGGCTTCAGATGTCTTGGGATTTGGCTCTACCTGATGTCTAGAATGGGCTGCACTGGCCTGGGAATGTTAACCACCAGCAGCCCTAAACACAGATGCCTCCCAGGTGCTGGTATTCTCACCCGGGTCATGCACCTGTTGGCCAGGCTGTGTCTAGAAGCCCTGACTTCCTCACGACCTCTGTGATGCTGG